GAAACTTCCCAAAATTTTGTTTTCCACTTAATATATTATGACCGACTTTTTTTTTCTTTTTCTTTCCTCAATATATTATGACCGACTCTGCATGACAATATGACATTACACTTAAGAATGAGACAAGGCCATTTACACCAGTATATCTAATCATGTAAATTTATCTCATAATTGTATAACAATTTAACTTAGAAATCAGCTAGCATTTAGCAACGACATCTAAATTTTGAAATAAAGCTTTTAGATTTTGAAAAAAATGAATACAGAAAGAAGAAATGAGATTCTATATAATATTTCACGCGTCAAAGTAAGAAATTAATATAGTAATGTAGTCAAATGAAGTTAGATACATATAAAAAGTAATTCAAGGTAAGGCCTCTTAAATTAATATGAATGAATCCAACGAATGGGCAAAACCGAGGGAATTGCATGCCAAGTTACGACAATCTATTATATTTTTAAAAAAAATTAATAGGTCAAAGCTTGAAACTATTTTTAATTAGCCCTGGTTTTAACTTTTAACCAAGTCTATTGACACCCTTCGTAATTGATCTACATATAACTAGTACCAGGTTTTTGATCAGTATATACACATTTCAATTATTGTTAGTTCAGCTGATATTACAGCAAAGAAGGAATCACAAGTAAAGTTGAATTTAAGTTTTACACTTTAACATGGCAAATTACACATGTATCCTATCAACATAAAAAATTTGATAGGTTTAACTTCTTTCTTATAAGAAAAATACATAGAGTGGAAAAATTTACAGGCGGATTTTTCGATGTAACTATAAATTAATTCCTCTTAGAAAGTAAAACAAATTTAAGAGATTTTTTGCCAAATACGATAATATTCAAATTTTTCCAAATATAAACATTTATGTATACATTCAACGCCAGGTAAATCTATTTCTTAGAAAGAAAAACAAATAGTCAGTCAGACGCGTTTAGCTCGTGAATCACCTATAAACGATAAAATAAATATAAATTTGAATTATGTTACCTTTTTTTAATTAAGAAGTTTCTTCTTACTACCTATATACGACAAAATAAATATATAAATTTGAATTAAGTTACC